TAGCTATGCAGCTTGGGCGGTGTGTGGGCAGAACTTGGTGAATCACAACAGGAATTCTGTTGTGGTTGCTACCATGCCTCTTGCATAGTATGTATATAACAGTCAGTATGTACATCTCCTGGTGTGTTTTCTTCCGTTCTGTTAATGCGTGATGTTGCCCATCTCTTTCTAGAGTACTTGCCCAGGTTCAGGTTCTTTTCTCATACACAAATCCTTGCCGGCACTAGCACGATAGCCTTGTTGATATGTTGTTGGCATGGTACTGCTGGATGCACGGATACTGGTATACCGTAGACTGCATACGCAATGGTTAATGCTGTAGCAAAGCCCGCAATAAGGACCCTCAAACTGAATCGGGCCCGATCGAACCAAAGATCCATCTGTGTCCAAAAGATACATATCAAGCGCACACTTGATAAGTGATACTGTAACTCTCTCTATACATGAATTGAAACGCGTGTCATTCCTATGGAAAGACTGGATAATCTTGCCTGGAGACTCCTCCTCAACCCAAGACAACATGCTACCAAACATCGCGTGCTAGCAGCTAGCATCAACAGTGCTGAGGCGACAATCGGAAAGCGCTTGTGTGCCTCTAGAAGGACCAGTATGCACTTCACCAAATTAAATGATGTGGCAAGTATCAAGATTTATCGGAACACTTGATGGGCAATTGCCCGCCTTCGGATACTGCAATCGACCAATATTTCAACGTGTTCAAGCATTTTCAGACGTCTCTCAAGCGAGCCAGATCTGCCAGCTTCTTGTCCTCCGTGATGAGAAGCTCATAGGAGGCCTACAAACCAAAAGCCAGAAGTGGATGACAAATGAAGATCCATAAGCATGCATCAAAATAGGAAATCATCTCCCACCATCTCCCCTCTTCGCCCTCTTGCTCTGGTACCGACATCAGACGGCGAAGCGACAAAGTCGTCCTCCGGGTCTCAGTCCCGAGTCTAGCGACCAAAACTGGGTCATGCCAAATGCCGGTCAAAGGAGGTCAAAAGGGAAAAAACGAACCAACCATTCCCCGGACGATCTGCGGTCCTCAGTTGTCCTCCCCTCCCACATCTTCTGGGTCTAGATCTGTTTCTAGCCAGTTGTCCAGTCATCCAGTCGTTCAGGTCAGGTCATCTAGCCCTCAATTTTTCACTTGCCAAAAGTTTGCCTCCTTGAGGAGGCACTCCAGGCTTTCTACGCTTCTGCGCTGTGAAATGGCTGAAAACTGCCCCAAGAGCTGACTCAATGCCTATCCCCCTTTAAGGGATTTCTGCTCAGCACTACTGTCCCAGCGCGCACACATTATCCAAAGACTCCCTGACCCTGACTCAGTCACCCCAATTCTCCAATTGGCTCAGCCGAAAGAGTCGAAGACGCAGTCCTGCTCTTTCCATATTTGCACTCAGCTGTTGTTGCGCATTATATAAGCTTCCATAACTTGCTGCTTCATGAGCACATCCTGCCAAGTGCAAGGACTTCACCCCTGCAGGTCACCTTTGTGTAGCTTGGAATATCCAAGCTGTCGCCACATGCCTTTGGTGAAACTAGGAAAAAAACAGAAATCGAGGTATCAAACTGCGAATCGCGTTTAAAGTGTCGAAACGACGCTCGCAGAGCTTTCAGAGCTTTCTAAACCCGCTCCTTCACGATGTAGGCCAAGCTGGTCATGTCTGTATCAGGGTCATTGGTTCGACCCCAGTTGCCTCCAGTCATCTCCACCCTCACACGATCTCCGGAAAAGTGGTACTTGCACCTCGGGCCGTTGAGTCATTCAGATGAGAAGAAAACATGCTCCCGCAGTTGTCGTTGTTAGGTGATGCTCCAAATGGTTGACATTGATTTCATATGAACGCGTCAATCTTCGTCTTCAAACTACCGCAGTAGACGTACCTGGAGACGCATGTCTGAAAGACAAAGCGGTTCTGCACTGCCGCTATGAACTCGCTCATGTCCTTAGTTTTTGGAGGCCGGACGAGAAGTGACCCGTCATTAACGTCATCTGCAATCTCCGTAGTCCTATGGGACAAGGTGTTATTACGTCCTTTTAGGGCTTACTATGGGCAGCAATCTTAAACACTTGTTGCGTGCTTTGATACAGTAATGCTCACTCACCGCTGTGCAAAGCGAGGATTGCCAACAATAAATGGAGTAAATGGGCTTTTGGTGGTCGCAGCAGATGGACATCTGACAACATGGAACGACAGTGTTTCGTGTCACCTGGAAACAACACAAAAAATATATGTTTTCCAAGGCAGCTGAGTGTCCCATGCATTTGCGCCGAAAGGTATGTACCGTATTGTAGTATATGGGTATGGTATGGGCCAAAACATGACAAGGCACAGGGCCTAACCAAGGCTTAGTCATTTTCCTCTACAAGCGGCGTGTTGGAGCCTACAGACTTTTGACCGACCATGCTTGACCGACCACGGGAACGGTAAGCACACCCGACAAAGCCAATACCGCCAACTGTGACGAAGTAAAAGACGCACGAAACAGGGTCAAGGTTGCAAATGATAGAGGATCAGACTGACAAACATGATCCTGGGATGTGCTAGGGTGCCCAAGATCATCTGGAAAAGGCTTCTGTTTCAAGAACCTCCGGATCACCCTCCAACGTGCAGAAACCATCGCTAGGTTGGAGGCCATCGCTCTTAGTTTGGTGCCATTCTTCCATTCGGTATGTTCCAAGCGTCTGACAAATCAACTGCAATCATCTGCGTCGCTTCAAACGCAGGCATCGTTGAGATCGTTGGCCACAAGTTGCTCAAAAGATCCACTAAAACCTCACTAGGAGGGACAGGGAAGTCCCGACTTGGGGAACTGCACATTTGGCCATTGCTTCAACAAGAGTTGGCATGTACGTGTGAGAGTTTCGCAAAGGTTACGAACTGCATGTTTACACTGCAAATATAAGTGCAGATGGTACCGAGCACTGCCAGACAGTGTGGATTCCCAAGCATCTTTGAAAGAGATCCAGAATTTATGTATATATATATATCGTATATACGTGTAACTTGTTCTATGAGAGCAGGAAAAACTTGAAGTTTCTTTCTATGTAGGTGTATTCCAACAATGGTCAGCACAAGCAAACGAAAGAATCATCGCACGGAACAAAAACAGCAATTGCATTTTATTAGTAAAGACAGATAAATAACTCTCTTTGAAATTCATATGGCTACTTGGGTAGCCCAATTTCATACTATAGATCAACGCCCCCCATGTGGGGGGTCTCTGTAAATCATGCCCGCCAGCTCATGCACACGCTATGGAATCAAAGCCCCTATGTCGTGAAGTGAAAGCTCACGGAAAGTATATATGATGAAAAAGCGCGGGCGCAGCTTTTCTTGCTGGAACTTGGGCCTATGCGGCCGTCGTGCATAAACCTGTCAGTATGCCTAGGTGACGGCCTTACGTACTTGCACTGGAATCAGTCACTCCTCCTTCGCCTAGGCATACGTGACACAACCTAATGGGCTGTCCCTGCCTGTAGTCCGGGCAGCCTCCTGCAAAATGCAGGACCCTTCCGGCTGATGTCATCTTCAGCCTACGCATGCGCTCCTCAAGTTTGGAGCTGTGCTTTTCAGCGATTTCTCGCTCTTGCAAAAAATCAGCTACACGTGCTCTTACTTCCTTCAAATCTTGTTCAAGTTCCTCTATGTACCGGTCTTTCAGGAAGCATTGGTGCCACACTTCTTCCAACTCACTCTCACGGCGGCCATCAGGTACAGAGACTTGGGTTTCTTGGTCCACCCTCTCAATCTGTACCTTCATGTTCAGCTTCCTGAACTGCATCGTGGCCTCCACATTCTCCTTGATGAAGGCCTTCGTGCCATCGAGGAACTCAGCGGTGTAGCTCCGAAGCCAACTGGCTAGGCTCAAGGCCCCGACGCAAGCCAAGCTGCATAGCATCATCCATATCCAGTCTGTTTCATCCTTCTCCTTCACTTCCGTTGCGGTGCTGCCGACTTGGTTGATTGTAGTCAGCAGCATAAGGAGCCCAATCCTGAGATCTTTGTTCTTTCCAAACTTCTTCATCCCTTGCCTGAGTTGGTGCTCCTCTTCGATCTCCCGGAACTCTTGCTCTCCCACGCGGTCACCCACCGAGTCCACCAGGTGGAGCATGTACTGAAGACCTCGTAGTCGTTTCTTCGGCAAGTTCTTGGCGCCGACGTCGGCGCTGTTGAGGTCTGTTGGGATTGCGGCCACTGAGAGCGCTTTCTCACGCTCCTTTTGTTGTATCCACAACATGGAAGCGTTCAGATCTCTGACACGGCCGATCCCCTGCCTTTGGGTCATCCCTCTGGCTGCCGAGCTATCGGATCTCGCCCTCATCTTGCATGCTCCTCCTGTGATCTGGTTCCACAGGTGTCTGACCAGCATGCCGATAGAGGTTCCCGTCGATGAACACTTGCATGGAGGATGTTGACTTGCGATCGTTCTTGTTTCCTGCATGGTCAGAATCTGTGACGATCTCCACCAGGTGCTCCTCTGCATCCTCAACCTCCTCACTTTCTCGGAAGTCCATCATCGATTGGCCTCTCTTGCGTTCCTCGAGCCTCACTCCATACCCACTTGTTCCAAACATGTAGGAACATGTGCGCCAGGCGTTCTTCAAGGCGTGCTTTGTGGGTTTTGCCATGTGTCGGGCAAGACATTGGATGGCGTATTGTGCGTCAGGGCGTTCACCGGCCATGTACATGAGCCGTCCCACTATGCTCCTGTATTTTGTGACTTCATCCCCCTCCAAGACCTCTGAGTCGTCCTTCTTCGTGAAGTTGCCGTCCAAGGGGGTCTTTCTGTAGAACTTGGAGTAGATGTCAACATCTTTCTCGAAGCTATCATATTGCTTTCGATCACATCTGATGTCACAACATTTCCGGCTCAGGTTGAACTGTCTCTTCAAGTAGAAGAACTTGTCTCCTTGTCGAAATGGGCCCTTTTCCTCCACATTCCACTGCTTCTCTTCCTTGAAGTACTGTATCAGCTCTCTCACCTTGTCTTCTCGCCCAACCATGAACATGTCATCCACATGCACCGTCAGGTACAAGATGTTGGGCAGTAGCATCAGCGTGGGCTGCATGAGGTCTTGCTCCATTCCAAAGTCCCTGCAAGCCGACGCAAACAAGCTGAACCATTGTGAAGCAGCTGTTCTCTGTCTTGGGAGGCATCTGAGGAGTTTGTAGATGCGGTCATCGATCTGCACATAGGCGTTCTCAGCCTCTGGTTGCGCCGCCATGAGGAAGGCGTCTTTGATGTCCAAGGTGACAACCACAAACTCACTCCTCACGTTGAGCATGTAGTGAAGCAACATCTTTGGCAACATCATCATCGATGTGGGAGCGAATGTGGCCTCGAGATCTATGCTATTTCTGAACTGTCGGGCCACCAGTCGAGCTCTTCGAAACCACCCGCCTCTCTCGAGACGGTGCTTCCAGCACATGACCATCTTCGTGCTGATGATGTACCCATTGGTCTGCTCAACCTCTGCTCTGTCTGTCTCCACCATGGCTGGCAGTTCCAACATCCTTTGGATTTCTGTGTTGCGTGCTTCCTTGTCGAGCATTTCCCATTCCTCTTCTGATAACTCTGGGGAATCATCTCCTTCTTCACCTCCATAACTCATCCACTGCTCCTCAAGGATTTCGTCCGGCATCAGCTGCGTGTCCACATCCTCATCTCCATGCGGCTCAACTGCAATTGCCTCTATTCCTGCATAGCGCGGTGGATAGAGTTGGCCCATGTTGTGTGTTGGGGACATTCTTGGCGATGCCTCTACCTCTGTCCTCATCTCACCTC